CGGCGGCGAGCCAAGAGCCGCGCGAAGCCGTGATTGGCTGGTGAGCCGGCCGCACGCGGAGGAGCCCAAGGAGCTGCTCTGTTGCGACAGTGGCCACCCGATCCTGTCGCCAGGAGCGGCACCCCCGTCGCCCTTTGCAAGGGGAAGGGCGGGGAAGGGGGAACAGACCCCAGGGCTCGGCCGAGGCGCCGGCTCCGCAGTTGCAGCCGCTGCCACCTCACAGCCCGGCCAGCTCCTTCCTCTTCCGCCCGCTGTCAGTCCCCGTCTCTATGGTGACCGCATCCGGCCGCTCGCTCTGCCGCGGCGCTCTCTATGGTCGCCCCGCCCCTTCTCTGAGCCGCCCGCCCTCTGGGGAAAGGATGACGTGGTCGGCCCGGCCAGCCGCCCGCCACCTCAGGGACCAGCGTGCATTCCACAGACGCTAATCCAAATGGGCCCCGAGGTGCCCCAGATCTTCAACCTCAACTGCCATCTGCCCTGGAAAAAAAAATACCCTCCCCCTCAATGATCACGTTTCTGCCTCCTTCCGACTTCTCCCAATGGGCTTCCAAATCCCACCCTCCACTTAGTTATCTCAGAAATGTTGTTTGCCAGCTAAGTTCCAGGCCATCGTCACGAGTGCTGAGTAAACAAACGGTAGACGAGGTGGGCATGGTCCCTGACCTCAGGGAGCTGAGAGTTGACAGGGACAGGCATTACAGTCACACTGACATAGCAAAAATATAAACTTAGGTAGAAACCCCAAACTGTCATAAATAGCATTGCAGAAAAGTAAGAGTCCAGTGGGAAAATATGACAGGAAGAGTGAGCCTGAGAAATTGGGAATGCTGAGATCCAACGTTTCAGTTAGTTACCCAGACAAAATGTGAAGAGGGGTTTTCCAGGTAAAGAGTAGAGCAGAGAAGGCCCTGCAAGAGAGAGGAGCTTGGCCTAGAGAAGTGGGGAGGCGAGGGCGGCTAAGGCCTGGTGAGAGAGGGGCCGACAGCCCAGGGGAGGCTGGGGGGCAGGCAGGGCCTTCCGACCGCCACAGTGGGCTCCCAACCAGGACGGCACATCCCGAGGGGGCAATTTGGAGGTGTACCTTGGGCAACTTTGTTGTCAAATGGTTGAGAGGAGGAGCCCAAGAATGCAAGATGTCTTGCACATTGTAAGATAGTATCACACAAGAAAGAATTGTCCCACAGGGCTTTCCAATGTCCTACTGAACATTCATGTAAGTGGAAAAACAAAACAAAACAGTGATAATCGTTGATCCTTGAGCCTGTGTTTTATATATAAAAATGACTTTGCAGTTAACCATTGTCCATATTCTTTACCTAAACCAACCCTTTTGCCCAGAGTAGATGCTTAATACTTGTTAAATGTATTAAAGAAATATCTAGTGCATCCTTAGGCCAGGATTCTACTAGTAGCAGAGAAAGCAAGAAGGAAGCCTAACAGAACTCTGGCTAAGTAATAATTAGCCAATTAACAAGAATTAACCTCTAATCTTTCTAACAATCAAATGAGGTGTGTACTACCATCATTCCCATTCTACAGAGGAGAATATGTATTTTGCCGAAGGTCACACACGGTAAGTGGTGGTGCTGAGGCTTGATGCAGGCAGTCTGCCCCCAGAATTCATGCTCTTAGTTATGCTCTGTCAAAGTGAGGTCCCCGCCTGGGAACTCCAGCAGCATGAAGAAGTCACGTGTAAGACACTTAACACCTGAATGTCGTGGTTCATTTACTTTTTTAATGTTCCTCCTTAATTGTGAGCTCCCTAAAGTCAGGGAATGACTTGTCACCATTGCAACTCCAGCATCTAGCGCCAAGCCTGACAACACAGTGGGTACTTAATTGGTGGGGGGTATTCTGGAAAAAGGTAAGCCCAAAGGCATGAAAGTGTGAAATAGTGGATCACTTGAAATACATGTAGATTCTGCTGGAGCATCAAGTTTGAGGAAGACAGCTGGTTCTGTGGAGGAGTGAGCTTATGTTTTAAAGATGTCAAGAGGGCCACTTTTGGAGACTGCTCAGAGGTAGTAACAGTTCCCTTTGCTTCCCTCCAGCCGTGTCACTGATGGCGAGGCACCGCTGGTCAGCGGCCTGGAGCAGTAGCACAGATCACACAGGGCCTGCCTTGTATTTGAGGCTACAAATGTGGGATTTACGATGTCGGTGATGAGAAGTCTATGAGAGTTTTTAAACAGTGAGACTCAAAGGAAAAGTAACGGTTACGGTCTCATGGCAAACTGATGATAAAGGTACACTTCAGGGTTTTCCCACCAAACTTACGTGGCTTCAACGGAAACCTAACAATTCGGGAGTGGGTTGGCTACGTGGCTGAGGATGAGGAACAACATTTGGCACCTCTAAAAAGTTTGCTTACCACTGGACCAGTCTCTAAAATCTCGGTTTCATGAAACGAGAACGCCTTTCTTTCATGGAAGAATTCTGTTCTTTGCATCTCCCCAGCCGCCACACTCTTCCTTCTATCCCTCCTCTTCTCTGCCCATTGTTTCTAGCCGTTCCCGCCTGATGCATGCTGGGAAGTGTAGTCGCTGGCCTTGCTGCCTAGAGCCGGTAGGGCGGCCTATAAACTCGGTATCATAATTCAACAGAGGCGGGGTAAAGCCTGGACGACCCAGCCCACTTATCCGAGAAGCAATCTGGGATTTGCAGTTTCCAGGGCCCGAAGGTCCCGCGGGCCCAGGGCTCTTGGACTCCAATCCAGCCAGCCTCGCGCACCCTGGTGACGTCACAGGGCCCGCGAGGCTTCTGGGATACGCCGTAGTTCTCCAGGAGCGGTCTCGGCCTTGGCCGCCACGACTCGAGGACGACATTTCCCAGGAGTCTGCACGGCGGCGAGCCAAGAGCCGCGCGAAGCCGTGATTGGCTGGTGAGCCGGCCGCACGCGGAGGAGCCCAAGGAGCTGCTCTGTTGCGACAGTGGCC